GGAAGCAAGACAGTGACTCAGTTTTTCATAATATCTCACTCTCAGGAGAACTTTGCAGATGATCAGCTTTCCTTTCTGATAGCAGCAACCCAATAAACAACCCAAGGACCTCTCATGAGATCCCTCCTGTTCACGATCCCACACTATCTGCCACCACCAAACTGAGGGCCAAGCTTCTAACATAGGAAATTTGGGGGGACAAACCAGATCCAAACCATAGCACATTATAATCCTCACATGGCAGAGAGCAGAGAGAGAAAGCAAGTGCTCTTGTGTCTCTTTTTTTATGGACACTAACCCCATCACAAGGGCCCCATCCTCATGATCTAATGACCTCTCATAAGCCTCATCTCTAGTTTACCTTGGGGATTGGGGTTCCAACAAATCAACTTCAGAGGCAAATGTTCAGTCTGTAACAGTGAGGACAGCTAGGTACGGTGACACATACCTATAATCCCAGCAACTCTGGAGGCTGATGCAAAAGGATCACAGGTTCAAGGCCAGCCTCAACAACTTAGGGAGACCCTGCTTCAAAATAAAAAATAAATAAATAAAAAGGTCAATATGTAGAGTATCCCTAGGTTCAATCCTCTGTACCACAAAACACTAAAAAAAAAAAAAGAAAGAAAGAAAGAAAAGAAAAAAAAAGAAACCAACTGCAAAGACACAGGAAAATGAAAACTCTGCAAGGCTTTGCTCAGAGTTTAAACTCATAAATGAGATTTGTAAAATCTTCATACTATAGCATATAAAATCTTCAGGCCTATAGCATTGAGTATATCCTGGTACTCTCTCAGCAAGGGCAGAAAACGGAAAAGTCTCATTTCCACTGAATGAATTATTTTCACATTCAACTCAAATCCGAATTGTATGTATCTTTTTTCCCCCAAATAATTAGCTAGCTATCCCAGCACCATATGTTGAATAATCCACACTTTCTTGACAAGTTGAATGCCAACCATAGCATTTAATGCATTCTTACATAAACTTGGGTCTTTTTCTGGGCCTTCTGTTCTGTTTCACTGTGTCAAGGATCACAAACTGGGGGTCCTATGAGCCCAATTCTGCCTCCAAATGTGTCTGTTTTGGTATTTGTCCGGAGGTGTTTTCTTAAAATTGTAAATTTTTTTTTCTATTTGGAATACATTTAGGGTGTAACAGCACACATTCCCTTTCCTTTCAAAAATATTTCCTTATGTACACTGCTTCTCCAGATGAACATTTACATATTTTATCAGTTGCTGGAGAGGGGATTTTTTTTTTTGGTCTAGGATTTTGATTGCAATCACATTAAATTCCTTAATTCATTTGGATGAAATTTACATCTTTACAATTTTGAGTTATCATTCAGAAATTTTATGTCTCTATTCCAGTCTTCTTTCACATTTCTTTTTTTCTCTTTCTTTCTTTGGAGGGGAAGGGGTACTGGGGATTGAACCTGCGGTCTTGCTCATGCTAAGCACTGCTCTGCCCATTTTCTTTTAAAGCCCCACATATTTCTTTTTTTAATATTTATTTTTCTTTTAGTTTTAGGTGGACACAATATCTTTATTTTACTTTTAAGTGGTGCTGAGAATCGAACCCAGTGCCTCATGCATGCTAGGCGAGCGCGCTACCATTGAGCCACAACCCAGCCCCCACACATTTCTTCTTATTTCTAAGAGTTTTCTTCTGTTGCTACCAATACAAGTGGACACATTTTTTTCTATTTTTTCAAAATTACAGAACATAGTGATTGTAAAAAAATATCAAACAATATAAAGAGTAAAAAGTCAGAGAACCATTCATAACAACCTCCCCCAACCCCATGTCATTTTTGCCCTCAAAGATCTAGCAATATGATTCTACAGCTTTTCCGAATGCTTAACCACACACACACACACACACACACACACACACACACATGCACTCAATGGCATTATACATAACATACTGTTCTGCATCTTGCTTTTGTCACTTAATTTATCACTGATACTTCTCCATGTCCGTGCATATAAATCAACTTCATCCCTGTTATAAATTGTATAGCATCGCATATAATACAAATCGTTTTTAATTAACCAGTCATTCTCTTGGATTTTCACAGTACATGATCACAGCATCTGCCATCATGTAAAGAAAGAAAAACTTAATTTCTTTGTCTTTTTTGCACAAACTAGAGCATCTAAAACCCTGTTAAGTAATTGTAGTAACAGCAGAAAGCCTGTCATGTCCCTAACTTTAATAAGAATGTCTTGAATGTAAATGTTAATGTTATTTGTTGGGTTAAGATATTTTTTATCATGTTAATAAAATACTTTTGTATACTAATAGTTTTTTTTCTTTTTTTCTTTTACTAAAAGCGATGGATGTTGAATTTTTTTCAATGCCACATTGGCATCTATCACAGTGATTACAATTGAGACATACTAATAGAATTAATAATTTTATGAATAGATTTCCTAATATCAAATAATTTTATATTCATATTCCTGGTGAATTATTCTTTTAACCTGGAAGTCATAACAAATATAGTGGAGCTGCAAAATAGAAGGGGTTTAGATCTCCGATCACTGCGTGGAACAGAATCTTCCAGAAGATGGGAGATAATGTACACTAAATTAAATCAAGTAATGTTAACATTAAGATTTTCATAGGTAAGACTGTAACTAGCCTGCCCTTTTTTCCCTTTCTTTGTCTACAATTAAGTTCTTTATTAAGCTCTGCTTTCGGCTTGCTTCCAAAGATCCTTTTAATTCTCAAAAGAATAACAACACAATCTGGTTTGATGCTCATCAAAATAATTTCCTCTTCCTGGACACACGGTGAAACTTCATTTCTAGCCCCTTGCAATATAGGTGGCCATGTAACCCATTTCCACTAGAAGTCAATGAATGGCGGTGGTGATGAGTTTAAGCAGACGGATCTGTTGTATATTTTCTCTTTCCCCCTTTTTTCTTTCTTTCTCCCCTTGGAGATCCCAGGTGATTACGGTGAAGTTGAATGACAGAAGGGACTTAGACCCTGATAACTGCCTGAAAGACCCTCCCAGGAGAGCTGGGGGACTGTGCACCCAGCAACATGCTGGTCTGGATGCCAGGATACAAATTTGTGCCTTTTTTCTCCTGTTATTCTAACCCACCCCACTCATTTTAAATAGACAACTATCTCAGAGGGAGGATGGGACAGGACAGAAAATAAAATATACCTATTGGTTTGCAGAAACCTAAATCCATTAGGTGATTAATGTAAATCCAGTAGGAGATTTTTACCAGAGGCAAATATCAATATAGATAAAGGAAATGGGTGTGGGCAGGGGGCAGGCCAGGGGGGGGAGTGATTTTAAAAGAAAGCAAGGCTCATGGAGGGAGGCAAAAGAGGGACTCTGAGAAGAGTGCAGACTTATATGAACTCAACAGCCTGGTTCCTTGCTCCCATAAGCCCTGGGAAGACAGTGAGACCCTAAAGATGGATGATGGCAGGTGAGGACATCAAGATTTTCATGACTCCAGCAAGCAAAGCAGCAGATGAATCAGTAAAAAGAACTTTCATACATACATAAGTGGACATATGGGCGGAAGAGGAGGATGTTGTAGCAGCCACCGGGATGGGCTCTGGATGTACCAACCTGGCCCTGCCCCATCTGATTCCAAAATCAAACATATGTCTTTTATACAGAGGTGAACAGGTGATGTCAGAAGCAGAAGGCCTCTTCCTCCAGGGCTGGAATCACACAGCCACCCAAACTGAGCCACTCACTCAAGAGAAAGGGGGGGAAACTCTGAATAGACTGTGCAGGGCTGTCTCTGGATAAACAAAGAGACACACCTTTGCAGAGTTTAGATTAGAATTGTTATTAATGGCTGAGCGGTGGCGCTCGCTCCCCTGTAATCCCAGGGGCTGGGGAGGCTGAAGCGAGAGGATTGTGAGTTCAAAGCCAGTCTTTGCAACTTACGAGCAATTTGGCAAGGCCCTGACTCTAAATAAAATACAAAAAGAAAAAAAAAAAAGGCTGAGGATATGATTCAGTGGGTAAGTGCCCCTGGGTTCAATCCCTAGTACTATATATATATATATATAATTATTGTTATTGTTATTATTAATGCTCTTACTGTCATCCTGCTGGGTCTGTCTCTTCTGGGATCCTGTGGTGGACAGCATCTCAGGTTTAGGGGCTTAATAAGGGCTGGGGATAGTAAGGGGATGGGTGGGGTGGGGTGGGTCCTGTTACCTCTGTTGAGCCCACCGGGCCGGCTAGAAGGGACAAGGCGCGTGTTATGGTCGGCTGTAGAGATGAGGACGGTCAGAGAGTGGAGACAGGCAGGACAGAGGTGGGCGGCATTCCCACCACGTCTCCCCCTCCTCCCGGCCAGGATTTAGAGCGCGAGGTGGCGGCGGCCGGCAGGGGGCGCCAGACCACCGGCAATGTGGCGGGGGGCGGACTCGCTGGGCGAGGGACACCGCCCCGGCAGAGACCCCCGCATCCCATCCCACCCGGGCTCGGGTTCCCAGACAGACTGGGCAGCGAGGCAGCCCGACGAGTGTGGGAACCCAGGCAAAGCGACCCAGGGGAACAGGGGCGGGGGGGGGTGAACGAGCTGGATCGAGGTCGCGGTCAGGGTCGAGCACCGAGCAGGAGCCCCCAAGGCAGACGCACGGTCTCCAATTTACACGTGGGACCTCAGGTCCAATGAGTCTCTGCACGTGCCCTGAGGGGATCACGAAAGGCAGCCATCATAAAGCAAACCGTTTAAACAGGACATTTCTGTGACACTGTTTTGACACTTCCGTGCCCCCCCACGCCCCGCCCAAAAAAAAAAAAAAAAAAACTAGCACCGGCCCCACCCAAGACTCTTGCACCCCAAGGGGCCTTGCTTGGGCCGTCCTCCACGTGCCCGATGGCTGCCCCTCATTGGTCCCCAGGCTGTTGCCCATCCTCACACAGGCAGCCCCAGGTGTCTGTGGCCAGCCACCGGGTTTAGATTTCAGGCTTCTTCCCATCTTCTCTGTTCACCTCACCCCCTTCTCGCCTCAACTCAGTGCCTCCTTTCCTCTTCTTTCTTCTTGGTCATTGACTTCAAAGGTCCAGTCCCCTCTTTCATCATCACACACCAGGGAGGGAGGTCCCAGGAGGGGCGCCACACTTCTCTGCCAGATGCTCCCTCTCAGCCTTGTGCTCCCAGACCCTGCCTCCCTGAGTCTTCTTCCCAGAGTTCCTGAAGGGTAAGGGCGGGAAGAACTCCAGCAAGAGTGGGGTTCGTGGGACCAGAGGTCAGAGGGCAAAGCCTGGGTTCCAGGTGTGTGGTTCACAGAACCAGGCAACCTGTTGCTAGGTAACCAATTTCCCATCATCCAACCCAACACATCGTCCTCAGCTGCCTACCCTCGGCTTCCAGCTGGCTTTGGCTGAATCTCTCAAACACCCACCCTAAAGGAGGAGGAGGGGACAAGCAAGAGCACAGCCCCCAGCACCTTTGAGTCCTCTGTGGCTCTGCCACCCACGATTTCACTGTGAAGTCAGGTGCCCGGAGCCCGGGCCTTTAGGTCACTGCCACCATGAGTCTGGGCATCATGGAAGAGGAAGACCTGGCTGAATACTTCCGGCTTCAGTATGGGGAGCGCCTACTGCAACTGCTGCAGTGAGTGTCAGGGGGCCTGGCCTACTCAGTCCCTTTGTGCCTGGGACTACTCACACCCACCCCATGCCCCACCATCTAACCTATCCCCTCCTCTCTTATAACCCAGCACTCCCAATCACCCTGCTCCATCACCTGGACACCAGACCCCCATCACTGCTCTTTCCCCAAATGCCAGCATAGACTTATCTCCTCAATACACTATCCCTTCCCACTCAGGTCAGAGAGTATACCCCTTTCCTTCCCATGGGTATCCGGCTGCCTGGGTTACTTCCCTGCCCAGCCTGCCCCAGGCTCAGAATGCACCTGTCTCTCTTGCCCATGTCTTGGGCAGGAAGTTCCCCAATATGCAAGAACAGTCAGATTCCCCATCCATCCAGCTATTGGAAAAGAAAAAGGAAGCCAAGATCATGCATCATGCTATGGAACAGAAGAAGGAGGTAAGGGGGATGGGGACGGGGTACAGGACAGGAGAGGGAGCCATCTGGGGCTCAGGGAGAGCAGGTAGACATCCTTCCATTTTGGAAGTGTGGGGAGGAGGCAGCTAAAATGGAGGGTCCTGGCTAGTGGTTCTGGTCTTTTTCTCTGGGGAGAATAGAAAAGATCTAAGTCTTGGAGTGACCAGTGTCCTGGAATGCTCTAATCTGAGCCAGGAACAGGGTGCAAAGTGGGAGGCCATCTATGAACCTTCCTGGGTCTAGGGGATAGAGACTCTGGAGCAGGGGAAGCTACCGTCCTCCTGACCTCTCTCTGCTCCTACACTCCCAAAGACATTTAAGCGCAGAATGGAAAGCCTCAACCTGCGCTGGGAGGAACTGGGAGTCAAGGAAGAACAGCTGAAAGCCCACATCCAGAAATTTGAGCAGTTCATCCAGGTATGAAGGGGAAAATTGTTCTTCTTCTTGCTTTAGAGGGTCACTCAGGGTTAAAAGCATCTTCAGGGCTGTTAACAATGCCTGGTGCTTCCCAGGCATCCTGAAGTCTCCACCTGTTTACCTGTCAGTCTCTGCCCCCTTTAGATGGCTGTTTCCTATTTTCTTACCAGTTCCTGGGATGTATAGTTTATCCAGTGAATGAACGGTTGAATGGGTGGGTGGATGGATGTGACCCTACCAGGGATAAGCACTTGGGGATACAGTAATGGATGGGCAAAGGTTTTAGTCTCCTCATTCACCATTCTTTTCCATCTTTGTCCTTATACCAAAGGTACAGGTGGGGGACCATTGGAGGACCATGCCACAGAGACCATTCCAAGACAATCCCCCTCTCTCTGTCTTTAGAGGAGTAATTTAATCATCTTAAAATCCAGATTTACCCAGATTCTTGAAGGTCCTTGGCTAGCTGCAGGGGGGTCCAATGGCTATATCTGCCACAGAGGAGCCCTGCTCTTAAGCCACACTCTAGGTCTAACCATGCAGGACAAGAAGTCAGTGGACTGGGCACATTCCCCTGGGGTCTTGTTCATTTTACCTGCCAGAGAAAAGCTGATGGAGTGGTTGGGGGTGGCAAGAGATTTGGGAGTGAGGGGTTCTCCAAATGACTTTAGGAAAGTCCTCAGTTTGGGAATCCCATAGAGCTTGCCACAAACACAGACCTCTTTGTTTGCAGCAGGTCTGAGGTTGGGCCCAGGTATCTATAGTTTTTAAAAAAGCTCCCAAGTGATTCTGTTGCACAGGTATATTTGAAAGCCACTCATTTAGAGCTGCTCATGCCTCTTCCTGTGCTAGAGGGAGAGCACAAATTCTCCACACATCCTCTTCCATGTTCTCCAAATGCCACCACCACACATGCCCATCCATGTGCAATCTCAGGAGCTCCCAAGAGGAGAAAGGAGCCACACAAGTACAGTGGATAGGGTGGGCTTGACCCTAATCTTGTGAGAGGGCTTTACAGAAGGAAAAAGGCAGGGTTTAGACTGATTAATGTAACTGAGCCTCATTCTTTCTTTCTGGGCTTGGAATTTCCTGTACCATCTCCTGGAAGCAATGCCAGGCTGAGCTCCTAGACACACTTTCTGGAATGTCCTTATCTTACCGGGCCCTCTGGACTGAGCACACAGTTCCTATCTCATCTTCATATAGTTTGATCAATGTGGCCCCCAGCTTTTGCGAGGAAGAGGGGGCTGACTGTTTTGCATTTCTACAGTTGGAGAAATTGAGGCACTGAGTACCACCAAATCAGGAGAAAATTTGGGCCTCCCAACTCTGACCCAGCCATCTGCCCCAGGATAAATGATCACCATTAGAAACACAAACAATAGAAGCTTTGTCAGAAGGGTTCCTGCTCCCACTTCTGGATTTTCTCAGCCTCTCTCAGGGTTGGGTTTTCTCCAGACACTGAGCCCCAGTGTAATATGGTTGTTCCTCAACCCTGGTTTCTCCCATCCACTCTTTGAAATCCAGAGCCCACAGAAGCAGACTAGTTTCCCAGTCTGCTCCTCCCAAGGTCACCTCTTGAGTCTGAACTAAGTTGCTGTCCTCTGAGCCTTACCTTGATCCACAGGAATCTCTTAGCTTCAATCACTAGCATCAAATAACCAAAAACTCGCTTCAGATAACCCCAGAAATCCTTTTCCTTGGCACCTCCTCTCCCACATGGCGACCCAGACAGAGCAGGGCTGAGGGCAGCCCAGGCAGGCTGGGGGACCCCAGGGAGGACAGGACAAGCCTGCCTAACCTACCCTGGCTTCCTGGTCCCAGGAAAATGACCAGAAACGGATCCGAGCCCTGAAGAAAGCCAACAAGGAGCGGGAACTCAAAAGGCAGCGCCTCCGGGAACTGGCTAAGGCCAAGCAGGAGATGGCGGCCTTGCGGCTGGAGCACCAGCGGCTGAGCGTCAAGCTGCAGAACTACTCCATCTTCAACAAGTACCTGGAAAAGGTGGTGGAGAACTCCGAGGTGGGTCCCAGGGACAGGGGCAGGCCTACCTCAGCATCTTCTCTGGGATGCTGGGTTACAGGGTGGAGTTCAGCTGCAATAGGCTGAGGCCTAGGGACCCTCTGGGGCCCCAGAGGCTCTGCAGGGATGGTCACCCTGGTCTGAGGAGATGCAACAACCCTTAAGGGCCGCTGGCAAAGGCCCCTGCTGAGGCTGGATGTGTTTCTCAAAGGATGAGAGCCAGGTGGTTTGAGTGTTCATGTGCCTGACAATCATGTCAGTGTCTCTGGGTCGGTTGCATGTTTATGCCTACATCTGTGGCTGCGGCTGTGGCTGTTTGAAAGTAGGTGTGTATGTGTGTTTGTATTGGGAGGACAAGCTTTTGGAGCACTAAGTTTTGCCCTCATCAACACGAGGCAAGCATCGATCCCTACTGCCACCTCCTCCCCAGTGTCTTTTGTTTACTTATGAGGAAAGGAAGGGAGAGAAACTAGAAAAGCATCCAGCCTCTGTAGGACGCTGCTGGTTTGATGCTCTGCAAGCCAGGCCTTGGGTCAGTCATAGCCCTGAGGGGAAAGCAAGCTGATCACCCTTTCACAGAGAAAATGTAGGCTCAGAGAGGTTGAGTAAACTGCTCAGTGCCTCATGGCTTGTAAATGGGCCCCACAATGCCTTAAGCAACCGCTCTCCAGCAGTCCCTGTGGCCAGAGGTCAGGGATCTTGTTAGTCCTGGTCCCACTGTAACCCTTGGAGCATTTGACACTGTTATTCCTCTTCTGTGAAACAGATTTTCCCTTGACTCGGTAACATTCCCTTTCTTCTACTTCTGGCCCCCTTGCCTCAGGCTCCTCTGAGAGTTCCTCTTTCTAGAAAGGAAGATAGAAGAAAAATGTTCCAGGGTGTCCATCTCAGAAGCCCCTCTTCTCCTCCTCCTTCTTCTCCCACTCCCCCTCTCCCTCCCCCTCCCCCTCCCTCCTTCTCCTCCTGTTACCAGGGATTGAACCCAAGGATGCTTTACCACTGAGCCACATCCCTAGCCCTTTTATATATATTATTTAGAGACAGGGTCTCACTGAGTTGCTTATTGCCTCACTAGGTGGCTGAGGCTGGCTTTGAACTTGCAATCCTCCTTCCTCAGCCTCCAGAGCCACTGGGATTATAGGCATGAATCATCATGTCCGGCCTCACTTTTCTTCTTGAGAAATCCCTGCAGCTTCCCAGCAATACCACCTCATCAGTGATTGTCCCCTCCCCCATGGATCCAGCAACAGGGCGCAGCCAGGAACCCTCTCAAGGGGTGTGGATGAATTTCTGTAAAGGGCCTAGGAGAAAAAAAGACACACAGCTTTTTAAAGTTCCTGCAATAATAAATTAGGTTAGAAACACTAACCTAATTTATTTATGTGTGAGTCCCAAATCTGTCTTATTTCCTCTATTCTATTACCTACTGTAAGATAAAATGCTGACTTCATGATTGGGGGTTTTCTGGGGGTAGGGGGGGTAGTAAGAAAAGAATAACATATTAAAACAACAGGTAAATTGTGAATTACTTCTCCAAATCAGACTGGTAAATGGCCGTCTTAGAATGGAGCAAACTGGCTAGACCAGCCCCCTGTACCTAACTCACTCTTCCTGTCCACAACTCACTCTTCCTGTCATCCTCAGGCCCTACTGCTGCTGCATTGGCAGCTGGACCCAGGTCTGGCCCTTGACTCCTCCCCTTTGCAGCCATCAATCAGCTGATCTGGTCAGTTCTGCCTCCTAAGCATTTCTGGAATTCAGCCCCTGCCCCTTCCTCATCCAGGCTGCCTGTCTGGAGTTCACCTCTGTGTCACTTCTGGCCATCCTGTTCGGCATTCTACTGCCAATCTCATCTCTCTCCCTTCCTTTGTTCTGTTCAGGATATTTTAAGCATTCTGGGAAGTATAGAGAGCCCCAGCACTCAGCACACAGTGTTGTCCAATCTTCATAGTTTCTATTGGTTCCCGATTCTTTTTCCTTAAATAAAAACACTTCTCATAATTAAAACAGCTTTTGTTTTCTTCCAAAACTCCTCAGGGGTAACCAGTTTCCTGATGTTTACATTTCTCATTTTCATGCCTGTTTTTACTATTTCGTAACATATCACCCGTCCATAAAACTGGAGGGGTATATTGTGCGTATCTTGGGGACTTTTGTTACTTGCTATTTTCAATCAAGAGTTTTAATATTTTCTTATTTTTTAATTGGCACATAATAATCGTACATATTTACAGAGTACAGTGTGACATTCATAATGATCATATGACACTCATACTTCATCACATCAAACATTGGTCATTTCTTTGTATTATAAATATTCAGAATCCTCCATAATGAGTCTGAGGGTGTAGCTAAGTGGGTAGAGGGCTTGGCTAATGTGGGTTTAATCCCCAGTGCCAAAAAGAAAAAAGTTGGTAGAGTACTTGCCTACCCTGCAGGAAGCCATGGATTTGATACCCATCACTGCAAAACAATGCCTCTCAACTAGCTATTTTGAAATACACAATTATTGTCAATCATAATTGTCTGCTATGCTATAGAACATTAGAAATTATTCTTTCAATCAATTATATTTTTAAGAACAATTTTATTATTACATACAAAGGAGAAAGAACAGTTGATGGAATGCCTGTTACTCATCACCTCATTCCAGCAATTACCGTAGACACATCCCCCTCACCTTCCCACCCTCACCATTTTGAAGCAAATGATATTTTTTCATCCATAAGTATTTCAGTATGGATCTGAAAGATGAAGGCACTTTTTAACATACAGATGCACCACAATACCGTTGTCACGCCTTGTAAATATTTGATAATTATTCCTTAATATCAAATATTCATCTAACCAATGTTATCATTTCCCACTTATTGCAGTAATATTTTCTGTAGTTTGTCCAAACCCGTCCAAACCAGTTTCCCCACACTGTGTATGTTTCTTAAGTGTTATAGACATTGTGTTGAGCAGAAGAAGTCAGACACAAAAGAGAGTATTCTGTTACTTTTCACCGATATGTTTTAATACAGGTAAAATTAGTCTTAATTGATCAAAATACTGGTTTCCTTAGTTGTGGGATACAGACACTATCCAAGAGGGGCAAAATTATTTTAATATCTCTTCTTCTTTCATTACCTGGAATAGCACCTAAAGGGAAGGATTTCATGAAGAAAATCTTTCCTTGGTCAACTACTTGATTACTATGTGGATCTTAGAGAAAAAGCTTGTTAAATACTTGACTCTTTGCAGTGGTTAGAATAATGAATTGGTTTTCCAGCATTCTCCAAAAATAACCCGTAATGTTTTTAGTATCATTATGAACTTGACGATTTTTAAAATATGAGTATGTCTCTATCCTTTGCTCTTATTCTTCCTGATGTTCAAACTGTCCCTCTTCGGACTGTGGGAGCCTCTTTAAGTTGGCGCCTGAGTCCTTTTGACGTCAAAATAAGAATTTTGAGCCCTTCCTAGGAGCTCCGATGTGGTCTGTTCATTTTTAACTGCTGAAAGCTGTTTTATGGTGTGCTGAGTAAACTTTGGGAAATGCAGAAAATGAAGTTCTTTTTGCTTCTTAAAGATCCTTCGATGACAAAGTTCACAATTCTTCCCTGGGGTTTATTAGGCACTTCTTTGTTATTTGGAACTTCTCCAGGTTCATCTCTCTCTCTCCCCAGCATCTGGAGCTCAGGTCATTCATATTAAACTACGTGGAGCATCCTAAATATGCCAAACACAAACCATTCGTCTTTACTCTCTACCTGTAACGATGCTTCATTCCCCGCCCCCACAACCCTTGCTTTTACCTAGCTATCTTATTAGTACTTCCAGTCTCATTTGAGCCATTTTTTCTCCCAGGAACCCTTTTCTGGCTGTTTCCACTCTTTCCAACGCTGGGTGATTCTTCCCCAAAGGGGCATATTTGAGAAAAGGCCAGCAGGGCAGTTCCCAAGACTCCAGTCCATCACTGGAAATGTCATGATATGGAGAAAGTGCTGGGGAGTGTCCTCTGGGTAGCTGGAAGGCACACATTGATAAGCCTGGGGGGAGGGGGGTGAATTAGCATCCCAGAACTAGGGCTCATTTTGACTTCTAAAAGGGTTCTTTGCATGGCTTTTGTTCAACTGGATGGAAGTTTGAAGGTTAGAGCTGGAGCAGTATAGCCACCCTGCAGGAAGCAAGCTGGGCTTGGTAGACCACCTTCTCCACTGGACTTCCACTCTACTACTTCTCCCACAGCAAATTTGTTGAAGGAATACCAGGAAGCGCCAAGCTTGATGTTATTGCCCCAGGCTCTGCACAACCCCACGCCCAGTCCTAGCTAGGGCTTATCACTCTGTGTTGTAACTGACTGTTTACTGTCAGTCCTCCCTCTAACCCTGAAGCTTTAAGCCTCAGAAAAAAAACAGGGACTGGCTTTCTTATCTCCTGCTATGTCCCTAGCATTGAGCACAGCTCCTGGCCTATAAGTGGTTCTTGGTACATTCTTGTTAAATAGGATAATCATGGCCTTGGGAAATATCTCAAAATGTCTTCTATGCGCAACTCTCAACTCTGTGTCTAGAATTACCTGGGAGATCTTTTGCAACATTCAAATGATAGGGACCATCTCTGGGAGTGGAATTTGACAGGTGTCCTTTTCAAAGCTCCCTAGATGATTCTAACATAGATCTAAGATTGAGAACCCCAACCCATTTGTGCTTTCTGGCAATATATGGATCATGGCCCATATAAACCCAGGAGAATCAGGAGGTAGGACAGTAACATCTGCACATCTCCTGCCTTGGCCAGGCCAGCCTACCCTGGTGTGTCCATGTGTTCAGGTGTTCAGGTTGGGGTTTGGCAGAGCTGCGGTGGCTGCATCTGCCCTCTGGGCAGTGCAGTGACCCAAACCCTGGCCTCAGTTTGAGGAGATCCATGAGGTGATCGGACGCTACAAGACGTTGATGAGCATGCACCATGATCTCATGCAATCAGCGCAGGAGAGCCAGGAGCAGATAGAGCGTGCCAAGGCGCGACTGGCTCGCTACATGGAGGAAAAGGACGATGAGATTCTCCAGCACAACAATGAGCTGGCGCGGCTGCAGATGCGCTTTGACCGTGCCCGCAGCGATGTCATCATCTGGGTGAGGCATCTCAGCTGTGCTGGGCAAGGTAGGGGGCTCCAGGGCTTTGCATAGGTGAGGCCTATGCATGTTCACCCCCCCTCATACACACAACACACACCCCCACACACAGGACACACAGATGCGAGTCCTGTGCTCACATCCCTTCCTGGTCCCCTCCCCAGGAATCTCGCTGGGCACACATCCAGAATACAGCAGCCAAGAAGACCCTATTGCTTGGCACCATTAAGATGGCAACGCTGAACCTGTTCCAGATCGTGAGCAAACAGCTAAAGGAGACAGCCCAAGTATCCCTGGAGGACACGCACAAACAGCTGGACATGGTAGGAGGAAGATGCAGGCATTGGGGTCAGCTGGATGTGGGCCAAGGGGCTTCTCAAGTGAATGGTTGAGTGGAGGAATGAACCAGGCACAGCACTGGCTCTCAGATGTCAACAGCATCAGAATCACCTGGTGGGGAGCGGGCAGGGAGAGGGGTATCCCTGGGCCCTGCCCCACAATCTCTGACTCCATAGGTCTGAGATAAGAACCCAATTTCCCAAGTGATGCTGCTGCTCCAGGTGCCATACTTTGAGAACCACTACATTCATACTAAGACCCTTTTTGGCCTCAAAGCACGTGGCCAGAGCAGGGATCCACTATTGATTCATTAGTCATGTGACTGCCTTATTAAATTCTAGTGAGAGACCATGGCTTGGTAAAGGCCAATGTTTGAAACCCCACTCTGTTAAAAAGGGACACTGGCAAGTTTTGAGAATTACCTGTCTGAGGTGTTCTTAGAAGCAATGGAAAGAAAGAAAATTGAAAGGGAGATAGATTTTTTTATTGAACGACTCAAAAGGTTTTTTTTTTTTTTTTCCATACGGGGGATTGAACCTCAGGGCCTTGTGCACGCCAGGCAAGTACTCCACCAACTGAGCTATATCCCCAGTCCCTCAAAAGATTTTTTTAATGCCATTCATGTTCCTATGCCACCTAAAATCACAACCAGAATTACACATATCCGGCTTTGGGGGAAATTCTGTACCAGCAGATGTATCAGTGATGCTTCTTCAGGCATGCAGAGAACCAGGACTAAGCCACTGTGTGTTCCTTTGGCAAAAGCCCTTAGCTCTGCTGTGACATACTACAAAGCTCTTGAGGACTGAGATTTGTGGTTGATCCCTGCTGAATTTCCCAGTGCCTAGAACAATGCCTGGCACATAGTAGGCACTCAATACCTACTTGGTAAATGAATGTGAAATACAATCCATAAAATCAACTGACTGAGAGGCATTTTATTTTTTTTAAAAAAGGGTGAAACTTATGAAATATATATCTGTATCTACTTATGAAAGATTTCCCCACTGATCAGCTAACAAGGATTTTCCCAAGACAATACTCAGCCTGTGTTTGAAGGCATATTACAATAGAGTTATTTTACCGTTCATAGAAGTATATTTGCAAGGAAGTTTGTTCTAGAAACAGCAATATTCAGATTTTTTTAGTATAAGGATATGTTTACACTCTGAAAATACCAACCCCCAAGATAGCTTTCCTTTCTATGGGTTGTATCTATCGATATTTACCAAATTAGAAATTGAAATTAAAATGTTAAAATATTTGTGTGAGAATAATGAAAAAAAAAATAATGAGAATAATGATAAAAGGCATGCTAACAGAAACAGCATTTTTTATTTTTAAAAAAATTTTTAGGTATTTTGTGAGAAGAATGGCATTATTGGACACTGGCAAAACTCCTTACTGGATTGTTGATTTTCTATTTTGATTTTCTCAATTTTGATCTAGGAAATCTCAACCTTGATTTATTTTAAGAGGAGTATTGCCCAAAGGTTATTTTAAAATATTTCATTCCATGTCTATAGGTTATACTCCTGTTGACGAAAATATCACATGACCTAGTAGCCTGGAAAATTAAAAAGGAAAAAAAAAAGCACCCGGGAAAATATAAGTTAAAATCAGAAGTTAAATATAAAAAGAGAAAAACAGAATCTAGTGAATTCTTGGACTCAAGGACCTTCAATAGGGATAATAGTTGACTCTGAGCTTCCTAGTAACCAGATGAAAAACAACACCTAGTTCTTGTGCCAAAAGAAGAAAACATGAGGTTGCATGCAGAGTTCTAACTGAAATTTCTCAATGAAACTTCAGAGACACTCAGTGACCAATGTTTTCAACAACATTCTGACAACAGACTCCGGCCCAGGCTTGGTAAGGCAGTTGCTTACATAGAGCTAAGATTGTGGTATATATTACAATTAGGAAAAGGCCAGGATGATCTACATTCAATATATTGTGTTGTGAAAGGTCTAGAATTTTCCTTGAATGAGACTGAACTACATGGAGCAGCAGTTTTCCAAACTGTGTTTGGCAAATCCTAGAATCTTAGAGATATTGTTTCCTATGAGGGAATAAAAGGGCCCCATAGACTAATACATGTAGAAAACACCAAGTTTTAAACAAAGTTGATTTTTTTGCTGCTGTTCCTTGCTTTGAGATTCTCAAACAAATGATGTTTCTAAAACTGACAGCCACCCTTTTCGGAGTATGTGACCACTTATTACAAGAACATAGTTTAAGAAATACTGAATTTGGCCATGCATGGTGGCACATGCCTCTAATCCCAGTGACTCTGGAGGCTGAGGTAGGAGGATCAGAAGTTCAAGGTCAGCCTCAACAACTTAGTGAGGCCCTAAGCAACTTAGCAAGACCCTATCAAAAATAAAAAAATTAAAAGGGCTGGGAATTTAGCTCAGTGGTAAAGTGCCCCTGGGTTCCAAGACAAATGCTGCATTTGTCTTTAATCTTTGGGAAATTGCTTTAATTCATTGGCTCTTTATTGCCTCATTTGGAAAATAGGAATTCCATCAATAATAGAAATATCAGGGGTTTGGAGCTTTGGATAAAGTCTGTGTAGTGTCATTGTTTTAAAACTGAGATCCTAGAGGCCATCCAAATTTTTCTTCCTTCCTTCCTTCCTTCCTTCCTTCCTTCCTTCCTTCCTTCCTTCCTTCCTTGCTTTCTTTCTTTCTTTCTACCAGAGATTGATCCCAAGGGCACTTAACCACTGAGCAATATCCCCAGCCCTTTTATTTTTTGAGACAGAGTTTCGCTAAGTTGCTTAGGGCCTGGTTAAATTGCTGGGGCTGGCTTGAACCTGGATACTCCTGCCTCAGCCTCCTGAAGCTGCTAGGGTATGCACCACCTCGCCCAGCTCCCTCTTGCCTTTTTAAAGACAAAGAAACTGAGTTCCAGAAAGTTGAAGTGATTTCCCCAGAGCTGCCGCATGAGGAGCTGGGTCTTCTGACCTCTAAAGACCCAGCTGGGTCTTCTGACCTCCGAAGCAGCACTGTATCAAGGTGACTACAAGTGCTTTCAAACTGGAAGTTAGTGAATAGAGCTTAAACTTTTCTTGATGACTCAAGATGATCATAATGAGCATCAGGTCTGGGTTCCAAGGCCTCAAGTACTCTGAAGTTGTGGAGGACGTCTGCCCTGGCACTAACCAGGCCTTTCCAGCGAAATGCTTTTATTCTGTAGCCCATTTGTGAACCTGTCTCTTTCTCCCCACTTCTGTTAGACTACCAGTCCGTTCTTCATGCCATCACTATTGCCCGTCCCTAGGAGGTCCCAGCTCCTTTCCTACATGTGGCTTCTAATCTATTAAACCTCATGTTCAGGTTCACCTTGAAAAACTGACCAATGAGGTATCACGATGCTCTTGGGAAAGTGCTGTACTTCAAGAAGACATGTACTGTCTTGGGATGGGGGAGGACTCTGGTTGGGTGGGGTTAATCACCGATGCCCTTTCTGTGTCAGATCCAACAGTTTATCCAAGACCTGTCGGACATCTGGGCAGAGGTGAAGAGGAAGGAACAGCAGCAAATCCGGGTGTAAGGGGGCAGCATGGTTCCAGCATGTTCTGAGACAGATATTGTGAAAAAGCAAGTTCCTGCTGAACTTCAGTCCCAGCCAGCCCTCATCGTCTTCTGAGGACCCTTGTGACTTTCTGTTTGTGAATACCTTGCCATTTTCCCCCAGGGTCTCAGTCCATCCAAGTCCTGAAAATATTAAATGTTGTTAGAAGTTTGTTCTGAAGTTCTCTCTCTCTCTTTGGCAGTTTGTTCATAGGAAAAGGGGGGGGGGAGGATCCCACAAGCGCTTCCTCTCAAGCTAGTCACTTAAGTTGCTGGGGAGCTAGAAACCATGTCTTGGGTCTGGTGGCTCCTGGGCTTTAGAATTTACATATATAAGAGTTCAGGTGGGTAGCAGAGAGCAGGATGAGAACAGGGGACCCTTATCTCCTCCACCACCTCAAAAGTTAAAAATAAAAGAAAGAAACTGGTGTTGAAAATGCATAGGCCCAGAAGCGTTTCAAATTCCAGAGTTTTTCAGATTTTGTAATAGTGTTATATACATAATGAGATGTCTTAGGCAGGGGATCCAAGTCTAAACGTGAAATTCATTTATATTTTACATGCACTTTGTACACACAGGCTGAAGATCATTTTATGAAATATTTTAAATAATTTTGTGTGACCCCCATCACATGAGGACAGGTGTGTAATTTTCCACTTATGTCAGCTTAAGTGTTGGATTTGGGAGCATTTTAGATTTCACATTTTCAGTTAGGGACATTCAGCCTGTATATAGTTAGAGATGTCATATAAGCATGGGATCAGTATATCTCATGGTGTACACAAACAGGGCATTGTTACAGGGACTTGACTTTGGGCAGTTACAGGCGCTGGTCAAGAAGTGTCTATAAGGGGCTGCTATCTTCCCATCTGATACTGGTGCTTGAAGTTCACCAGGGAGATCGTTGGGATACAAACATGGAGGTAAAGTGGGGGGAGATGGAGAATAAGTCAGAATCCATACACACAAGCCGGAATCCCTGAAGACAGTCAGGAAACCCATGTCAATTCTTGTTGCTTCTGAACTGGGTGGTATGGATGATCATCAGAAGCCAGGGTCATTCATCAGAGAGCTAAACACACATATCTGACCAAGGGGCTGAAAGAGGAACCATCAAGAAGATGCAGCAGTGGCAGACCGGCCACCAACTCACACCATCCAGGCAAGCTGGCACAATGGCCACAAGACCTGTGAGCTACAACATGGCGCCACTTCCCTTTGACCCTCCCACAGGAAGCTCTCCCACCTTCATAGGAAACATCCAAGAACAGGAATTCTGGGTAACTCAGCCTGGGTGAGCTGGCACATCACAAGCCTCCACACTACCAGTATCTCCATTTTATAGTGGAGGAAATGGAGGCTCTCCTTTACAGCAGGGGCTGGACTCTGGGAGGCCACAGGGGAGCTAGCCCCATCCAAACAGAACTCTCCCTAGAACAGGTTAGAGAGCCGAGGTCATCTTCCAGCCCCAGAATGGGTGAGTTCCAGGGTGGTGATCAAAGGGCAATAAGGAATCAGGGCCCTCCCAAAAAAGATCTTGTGGAGAAGAATGGGCCTCGATAATAACTTCCCTGACTGCTAGGCCCCAGGGCTGGGTCCTGGGAGATGGGAGACACAGAAGCACAGACAGTTCCTCCAACTTCTCCCCCTTCTCCCAACCTTCTGTTGTCTCTGTGAGGTGGTGTTTGAGAAGCCCAGCCTGTTAGGACTGAACATGCTTCCTGGAGGGGCCAGGCCTGAGGCTCCACCCAGAGGCCCTGTGCCAAAAGCAGAGGCCCTCCTCCTCCCCCCTTCCTCTGTGCCCCCTCCTCCAGCTCCACCACCACCTCGCAGCGTTGTGTTTCCCGGTCAGCTGAAGTGGGGACTCAGGAAGGGTTATGCTTAGAGCTCCTGTGATCACACACAAGTTCATCTTAACACACATACGTTGACACACATGCATCTTACTCATTCTGAAATCATTGCATTTTTCAGGTTTGCTTCTTTGTAAGGGAGCCCAGCCCTGAGACAGAAGAAATTCTGTGGATCTAGGCAGATTTCTTAAGTATAGGAAAGCCACAAATCCACAATCTCATACCCAAGCCTATGGATAAGGAAGCAACACGTTCAGAAATGTGCAGGGATTCTCAGGGACCTGAGTGAGAGGGCTTCCCATTGAGAGTAAGGGCTGCTTCTCCTTCTTCAATTCTCCACTCCCTGCTCCTTCTCAGTACCTCAGCATGGCTACCCTGGGCCCTACACTCACATAAAGAAGCCCCAAGCCGGCTCAAACAACGTTCAGACTCCCAGATACAGGAGATTGCGTTCCAAGAAGAAAATGAGGGTAAGGGCCTGATTGGATTTTTCCCAACCAGAAAAGACATTAGCTCATTAGAGCAGAAATAACTGATTGGTTCCAGAAATGAATGGTTCTCATCAGCAAAGGCAGGAAGCAAGGAGGGCTCTGGGTCTTTTATGGATAAATGGAAGGAGGAAGAGGGAAAGCCTTCGGGGAGCTCCCTCTCAGTATTAGAGCGCCCTGTTTCCCGTCAAAACCTGTTAGCTTTTCCTGAGGGAAAACAGTAGGAGAAGAAAGGAAGGAAGAGCCAACCCTACAAAGAGCCAGGTGGACAGTTATCCCCATGTCTGTCACGTAGGACATGTCTTACACACAGCTGCTAATGAGGACAGGATTAAAGCCGTTGAAAGCCTTTAAGAGAGATCCTTATCTCCCTGGAGTAGCTGAAGAGCCCCTGCCTCTGTGAGACTAGCTATTAGCCCTTAGATTCAGACCCTGTCACATGATTTCTACTCTCAAAGCCCTTCTCCCAGGATCTAGGCCTGGACCCTACACCTTATGGACCAGGCTTCTAGTAAGCTGGAGGGGCTCTGGAACTTTCCTCTTCTCATTTCAAACCATCTCAGGGTTGATCACTTGGGCACCTGAGTGAGCTCCTCTGCTCCCAGTCCTAGCAGAAAAGAGCCCACTGAGAGAGGTGACACCAGCCAAGTGCAGGCTGCCCCTCTGCTTCCGCAGTGCAGTGATGGCCAAGGGATCCCTCGGCTTTAACTTTTGAAACTTGAGGGAGCAGGCTCCCAGTGTAGACCACAGAGGCAGGAAGAAGAGCCAGGCATCCAGAGTGTGACATCATCCTCATGGGGGGAAGAAGGGTAGTAGCCATCTTAGGAATTTTATGAGGAAAAGAGCTGGATCTAGAAACATCCAGCAGCATGACAGCCAGCTGCACAGCAATGTGAAACTGACTGATTGTATTCGTTTTTTGTAGTCTGAGTAACAAATCGCCACAAACTTGGAGTCCTGAACCAACCACCACTTATTATGTCACAGTAGTAGGTCAGAGGTCCTTGGTGCCTGTACCAGATTCCCGCTCAGGGTCTCAAAGGCTGGAATGGAGGTTTTGGCTGGCTGGGATCTCATCTGCAGGCTCAGGGGAAGCATCCACTTTCAAACTCATGCAGGTTGTTGACATAATTCAGTTCCTACAGCTGTGTGTGTCTGAGGTCCTCACTTCCTGGCTGGCTGTCAGCCAGGGGCTGCTTTCTGCTCGCAGAAGCCAACTGAATTCCTCGCTGCACGGCCCCTTCTATCTTCAAAGGCAGCAAGGACACATGGAGTCCTTGTCGGGCTTTGAATCAGACTCTTCCAACACCAGCCAGAGAAACTGTCTGCTTTGAAGAACTGTGATTAGATTAGACCTTTCCAGATAAGCTCCCCTTTGCCACATAACTGGAAGTGAGTGACACTAGGGGATGAAGGTCATAGAGGTCATTCTCAAACTCTGCCTACCACACTGATGGAGAAAGGATGTCAAAACAGCTGGAGAAGGTAGAGGGGGAAGGGCTAGAAGATACTACGAAAAGGCTACTGGCCAAGATGAGTCATGGAAGGAAAGAATCTTTTAGACATGCGCTTGACCTAATATGTACTAGTGACAATCTCATAAAGTCAGAGTTCTTCTCTGACTAGAGATCTCTAGGGCATCGATGAATGAGCTTCATTGGGAATCTCTTTTGTTGTGAAACTTTTATATACATGCCTGTAAGGATTTTTTTCAATACCTGTCTGTGGGAACAGGAGAAAGTTAGTCCATAGATCTTTCAGCAAACTCTTACAGGAATTTTAACCAAAAAAAGAAAAAAAAAAAAAAAAGAAGTTTAGAAACTACTGTCTTTAAAAAAAAGAGAGAGTATTAATTTTATTGAGGGATAATGTACATTCCATACAATGCACTCATTTAAAATGGGTTTTAGTACATTCACCAAACTAATGGATTGAATGGGGGTAAGGGCAAGAGAGGAAGGAGGGCCAAATGGCTGCTGTGAGAATATCTTATTAAAGGATTTTTAAAAATATTTATTTTTTAGTTGTAGTTGGACACAATACACTTATTTTATTTATTTGTATGTGATGCTGAGGATCGAACCCAGGGCCTTGCCCATGCAAGGGGAGAGCTCTACCGCTGAGCCACAACCCCAGCCCCAAAGGGTTTTCTTTAAGTAAAATAATTTCTGCCATGTAAACATAAAATGAACATCTTTATCATTTATGGAGAGAACCAATATGACATAAAACGTGGATCAAAGGAGAATGTAAGGTTCAGACCCATGTGTGGACCATCAGGGATGCTAAAACTAATTTTCTAACAGAGGCAAAAATGATCTCTTCCACAAAGCAGAAATCAATTACCTCTTCCCTGTACAAAACTCATTTGAATTTCTATGAACAGAAATTATTTGCATTATCTCCATAAGCTAATGTCTACCTCTATGGAGTTGCAAATGTGTTTTTAAAAAGGCAAGAAGAAAGACACAAATCTCCCTAGAATCAGATAACCCCAAGAAGCATCCTCTAGAGAGAACACCAATGAAAGGAAATTCAGTAATATTTTGGCTTTTTTCAAAGCAAATTTTCCTGATAACCTGAGGCTGTTGCTATGGGCCAGGCCAACTTGGACTTATGCACAAGAACAGTGTGCAAGGGAGGGGCTGTGGTTAAATTGGAGTGATGACATCTATTTTAGTCAGATTTTTTGCTGCTGTGACTGAAGGACCCCATCAGAATAGCTGTAGAGGAGGAAAATTTTATTTGGGGGCTCACAGTTTCAGAGGTCTTAGTCCATATAAACCTGGCTCCATTCCTCAAGGCTCAAGGTGAGGCAGAACATCTTGGTGGAAAAGTG